TGTGGAGCAAGGTCTCCATGGTAACTGATGTGTGGAGCTGGATCTTCGTCACGATGGGGACAGAGTCACCAGGATCTAACTTGGGCTCTCGTTCAGGTGTCACAGCGTTTATCAGCTGCAGGTGAATTCGTGGTTCCAGCTGATCTGTTCAACAACGTCTCAACATCTTCTTCTCATATCAAGTTTAATAATTATGGAGATTTTTTATTTGTTTCACTGCAGAACATGTGACATGACTGTGCCAGTGGACGCGTTGCAGAAGGTGACCTCTGAACATCATGAAATATCAAATCCTGCCATCGGGTACAAAGCACGCTGCATTGTGCCTCAGGTGGACTCTGAACTTTGTGGTTTATGCTTTCGTGATTCAAGAGTTTTACCTTATTCAGAGTCTGCATCACTTTATTTACTCATGTTTAAATTTATAGCTCCATCGTTTGCGTTTAACATAAAGATCACTGACTTGTAGTGAAATGTGTTTTATAAATGAAACCACTGAGTCCTCACTTTGGGGAGGGTTCTTTCTTTGTTACCTCCGAGCAGAAACCTGAATCAGGCGGCTCTCAGCAGCCCAGCTGGAGGCCGTTTGGATGCGTTTCTGTGCAAACCTTGAGCGTGTTTTTGATTCGGTCCATCTGTCCGGTCTCTCTGGAAAGACGTGGGGGGGTTTAGTTTCAGAGATTCTGGACCTGAGATCTGAATTCTCCTGTGTTTGTACCTTGGAAATGTCCCCCAGGGCCTCGGTGGGAGCGACCCACATCGTTTGAGGATTTTAATGGCTGAAAATAAAAAAGCTGTTATAAAACTGTGGCTCCAGGAGAACCGCCCAGCGCTGCCCTTCCCATCAGTACCAGCATTTATTGTTGCTCAGGAGGAAAAACGACTTTTGCCCTTTTACTGAAAAATAGGATCGCTACAATCACCTACACTGTAAAAAAAATTTAAATTTAAAACATTTTTAACTGTAAGTTCTTTTCTTTTTTTAAAAGTTTTTAACGAGCACTTTGTGGGAACTTTAGTAGGAATTTTTTATCATGTTAAATTAAAGATTCTTTTCTAATTCTAGTACATATTCACAGGATTTTTCTGTTATTCTTCAGGTGATAATCTGTCATTTAAACGGTGCTGTTGTTGTTTAAGTGACATTTTTTTCTGTTCATTTTTCATTCAGCTACAATCGTGTTGGTTATTGTTTGGTACTGGAGCTGCATACAGCTGCTGGTCTTCGTTAGTTTTGTAGGTGCATTATTGCGGCGGTTTCTTTTTTTTGTTTTAACGCATTGTGCTGCTTTGTCTCCACGTGTTCTGTGTCTGCACTAGAAATAAAAACTGTCGGGTCGGTCTCACCGGGCATGATGACGTCCGGGAATCCCAGTTTGCGTGTGATGGCCACGCCCCTGCTGAAGATCAGAGGGTTCTCCCGGCGGACCTGCTCCATGTCGCCTCGCAGCAGCTGCAGAGAGATGATCAGACCTGCGGGTTGGAGGGGAAACAAGGAGGCAGAAGGTCAGACCGAACTCTGAGCAGAAGCTTGAAGTTTCCTTCTGGAGTTCTGGACTCTGAGCTACCAGTCTGCTGTCTGGACCTCCCGTGTGTCGTCTACGTTCAGCCCATCTCCTCACGTTTACGCTCCGATGCAACACAACCCTACTTTGGATCCCTTCATGAGGATTTTCTGTCAGATTATAATTGTGTTTTAACATATTACACATACATTTTGTCCACTGCGTCCCTGGCGCTCCTCTTCAGCCGACCAATCAGGCGTTAGAGGGGGAGGTACTTGTCACCATGGTAACCTAGAGAACATTTTTTCCAGTGACATTGGTGTCTAAACTTAACCGAGCTTCTCAAAGTGATATCTTCCTGAACCAAACCACGTAGTTCTGGTGCCTCATCGTGATCTCTGCCAAAACTCCTCCTTTCCTTCAGGGCTGGAATTTGCCTCGAGTACGGTGAAAATGTTTGAACTTTGCGGCGGATCACTGAGCGTAACTGCAAAATAAACTGGTGCAGCTTGTTTAACACATACTGTAGAGGTTCATAGCTCCTGGAACAAAGTTTCACTAGACTGGCTCCACATGGGGCAGGAAACAGCCTCACTTTTGCAAATATATATGATTGTAATACATCATTTGACGATTCTTCCTGTCCACTGACTTGCAACGCTTTCTCAACCGACGCATTCACGTTTACACGTCAAGTCAAATATCTCGTACGCAAAGACCTACATGACAACAAAATGGTTTGACTTCTGCTCCATCGATCCTGTTTCAGCGTCAGGAATGCTTCACGCACAGATTTAACAAAACCGATCAGCGTCTCTCCCTCTCAGTAATTAAATGCATTTCCTCACACCGACCACCAGGGGACGCTGCCTGTATATCTACAGATTTACGGACGTTGAGCGAAACTCCGTGGAAACAAGATGCGACCAGAAAGCAACTGAAAGCTGAAAGTAAACAGCAGCAGACGTGGAAACGCTCCAGTCCGCTCGCTAAAGGTCAACGCCGCGACCTGGACGCCGTTCCCTCAGCGCCACAGGCCAGAACATACACTTCTGTAGAAACCAAATGATGGTCAGTGGTCTGCTCTTACACAGCACCTTTCTACCTTAGAGCTACTCAAAGCGCTCTACAATGTGTTTGTCATGCAAGCTGCTGCCTGCCATCAGGAGCAACTTCTGGTTCAGTGTCTTGTCCGAGGACACTTAGACTGTGGAGGGGATCGAACCACCAACCTTGTGATTGGAGGACAACCACTCTACCAGCTGAGATACAGCCGCCCACATTAGAGGTTCCCTCTAAACCTAACAGCTTCTGGAGTGTCGTGTTGTGGAGCCTGGGTTGCTAAGCTAGCAGCAGCATGTTGCTCCTCATCTGTATCAAAACTAAAGTTTGTTTTCCTGAAACATGCACAGTCACCAGTGGAAGCGCTCTGTGTGGACCCTCGTAGACTTTGGAAGTGATGAAGTTCACACGTGTCCTCGCAACACATGGGACACATGACGTAGCGCAGCCGCCACAGCTGCTCTGCACAGCTCGCTAGCGTGTTCATCGTCACACCGAACCATGTAAATACGTGTTGAAATCCACCAAATCACGTCGCTCCACATTCATCCCGACACCTGAACACAAACATGGCAGCAGATCCCTGGTGGGCAGAACCGATAGCCAGAAACCTCTCATGAAACGTGACCCGAACGCTCGTCAGGAGGCGACGTTCCCCAACGGCGACACCAATTAACAGGATTCTCCAGCTGATGCGACACGATGAGTCGGACGGGTCCTGCTGATGAGTTTGTTTTGGAGCTGTCTGACGTCTGTTCTGAGTTTGTTCTCAAACTCGCTGGACTGTGACTCCTCAGTGAAAGAAGGACTCCTTAGCACTGCTGAAGTCCTCTGACTTCTGTTTCATGTACCTTTACTACAGACTCCATCATCATGTGGCTTCTTGACACCAGACCCAGTGAACTGGTGGTGGATGTACCGGAGCTGGAGGATGCTGCTCACGCCGCCCAACATCTCCTGCCCTATCATCTAATCTCCTCTGAAGGATCACAACACCGTACTGAAGGAGACTTGAATCAGGAAAATGTTAACCGAAGCAACTAGTGGAGCGATTAATTTTCTCGTAGGCTTTGATGCGATCAGGCTCAGCGGAGTCGCCCCCTGCTGGCTGTTAGGAATGGTGCAGGATCAGGAGTTCCTACAGAAGCTCAATACGGTAAACAGAGACACGCGATGCCGAGTGATGTTGTGGTGTGCCTCTGAGGTAATCTTACAGCAGGATTACACACATCTGGCAGCATCTGGAGGAACTAATCTGGACTTATACGCACATCCGAATGAGGTCAGCTACAAAAAAGAGGCTGAAGTGGAGAATTTCTGTTCTGTTGCTACAAACGAATGACTTTAGGAGCCTGTATTTTGCGTTTTGGGGTCCGCTAGAGTTTGTTTACCTGCTTTTATGCTCAGAAACACCTGACGTACTGGAATGTTTGTGGACTTTCAACATGCACAGAAAGCAGCGACACACTGAAGGAAAACCATTTGTCTTCATTAATTCATTGGACCTGCACACATGAATGAATAAATCTCCTTGTCGTGCTGCTTCTCAGAGCAAACACCCTCGTCTTACCGTAGTTGGTGCTGGGCGCCGTGTATTTGGTGCTGGACTTGCGGATGATGTTCTCGTGGATCTGGTACCATTCGTTCTCGTTGTTACACCTGGAGAGCAGCAGCAACAAAACAAACGTCTCACACAGCAGATAGATGTTCTAACTCCTGCTCTCAGAGGCTAAACAGTAGACTTGCAGAAGCAGCACGTCTCACAGAGAACTCCTTCATGTCGAGGAAATGCAAAGACGCTAAACTGTGACGGCCTCACATCGCAGTAAATCAGCATTTTTTTTGGCTTTTAGTCTGCTGCTCAGACAAAACAAGTCAGTAAATACATCAGCTTGTGCTTCAGCAACCTGAGACGGACACTTTTCACTGCTGAGGATAAAAAAAAAAAACTCAAACAGGAAACAGTGTTTGCAGAGATTTACAGATTCTGAAGCCTCTCAGAACCTATTGCAAGCCTTTAAATTGAGTCTAACCTTCTCTTTAATTCAACTGCAAGCTTTCAAACACTGGGACCTTCCTGATTCAGAAGGATGTTTCTCCTTTATAACCTGCAGACAGAACACGGAGCATCAGTCAGGAGAACTCGCTCTGATTCGATGCAACACAAAACGTCCCCATCCAGCCAAACGTGTCAATGTTTTCTGTCACATTAACGCGAAGCCCGAGGAGCACAAGGCCGGACGTGTGCGGAGGAGAAACCGGCCCGACGAGTTCAGCCGAGGCGGCACCGAGTTACGTCAGGCTGCGAGCTGCGAGGCTGCTGCAGGCAAGTCTTCAGAAGTTTTAGCCGAGAGGGGATTCCCTCTCGTCGGCCATCGACTGTGTGTGGAGGGATGGCAGAGCGCTGGTGGCGTTCTGAGACTGCAGATCGACCGAAGTGGCTGTCGGAGGCTCAAGGGAACTCTCACTGCTTTACATAATCATGTCAGGGAGAGACAGAAGAAAGGAGGCTGAGATGTTACATGAGGTAAAGACTGCAGAGGAAGAGAGACGAGAAAAGGTTGAGGATGAGAAACGCTGCCTGGTTTCCCTGCTTATCTTCTGTCCCCCTCTGACGGACTCAGCGATGGACAATCTGATCTGAAGGACTCCTCACTGTGTTTCTGCACATCTTTATGAGCTACAAGGTAGAGCTGCTTTGGTTCATATGGTCTCAGACTTTCTCCAGTGTGACCTTCAACAGGAGAGAAGCTCCGCATCTACAGCCTGTCAGGAGTAATCCATTACTTCTGGAGCCGACCGCAGACCTCCGCTCTGAACTGGTCCGACCCGAGGAAGACGGCCAACTTATTACTGAGTGTACTCAGAGTCAGACGAATTGACACAGAAAGACGCGAAACACCAAATAATCATCACAAAAAGACACAAAATCACCAAAAAAAAAGGTGCTAATAACCACAAAGATGGTGAATTACCACCAAAAAAAAAACAATTAAAATGACCACAGAATGCTGCAAAATCCTCAACAGATGTTAAATCGCCACAAAATCACCATAAAACCATCTTAAACACACAAAAACCAGGTTACGACGGTTTAAGATGCTGCTAATTCCAGGTTGAGCTGTTGATGTTGAATGGATTGAGACTGATGCTGCTGGAGGCGCTCAGAGTTCTGTGGAACACTCAGAACATCTCCAGGTAACTTCAGTGGAGCCCTGGAGGGCTCAAAGTCTGGAACTCTAACATGTTTTAGCCTTTAAAGCCACCGTAACGCTGTAAACTGGAGAACCGACCCTCACACTCTGATCTAGTGCAGCTCTGACTTTAACCTCCTGCTTGAGCTCCTGTCACAGTTTAGCGTCTGGTTCTGTCCGGGTTCGTGTCGGTGTGACCTACGTGTAGACTTTGAGGACGAAGTCTTTCTCCTCTTTGAGCTCGGAGATGGTCTGCAGCACGTCGCTCATGGCCAGGACAGCGCAGCCGTACGGCCGGCGGTACTGGACGTGTGGAGGACCTTTCTTGCTGTCGTTCAGCAGCATGCGACCTGCAGCGTCCAGAAGGTCCATGTTAAAGGAGACAAGGTTCCTCTCCATTCAAGCAGAGACATGCAAACAGAACGCTGATTCTGAACTGAGCACATTTAAAACCTCCTGCATATATAAATGTTGTCCAGAGGGACGGTTGGGTTTGGACTTACGGAGGCTGACGGGAACGATGTGCATGTACACAAACTACATGCATGTACACAAACTACGTGCATGTACACAAACTACATGCATGTACACAAACTACATGCATGTACACAAACTACGTGCATATACACAAACGAGCTGCAAATACATGAAAGCCTTGCATAAACAGAAACATGCTGCAAAAGGAAACACTGCATATTCAGGCCTCTAGGGGCAGCAGTGAGCTGTTCACCTGAGAGACAGACAACAGTGAGCGAGACAGGTAACGGTAGTTGATGGTAAAGCTGTGTGAGGTTTGTATTCTCTTGTCTTCTTCAGTAAAACACCACTTCAGCACCATACAACCTCAGTGACTGAGAAGCTGAAGACCCCAGAGGCCCGGGGCACTGACGCTGTGTGACTGGATGTGCAGCGTTTTCTTTCTGCAGCTCGTTTGTGTTTATGCACATCGTTTGTCCCCATCGGCCACCGTAATAATTAATGTTGTTCTTTCTTTTTTTAAAGACGAAATGTTTAAAAATGACCTCTCTGACATCCTGTAGACCAGGGATCTCCAGCTGTGGTCTTCCTGAGCTACTGTCCTGCAGGTTTTAGACGTTACTGCAGCACACCTGCCTCACATTAATGGATCTCCTTGTTGTCAAGTTCTACACAAGTCGGCTAATGATCCATTCATGTGAGTCAGGTGTGTTGCAGTAGCGTCTAAATCCTGCAGGACAGTAGCTCAGGAGGACCGGAGCTGGAGATCCCTGCTCCAGAAAAGCTAAACATGATAAACTTCTCCTCCAGGCCGTCTCATGTCTGAGTAGCTCACCTGTCCGGATCACCTGTGAGACGATGTAGAGATCCCTCTTCATGTCCTTGTTGCTCAGGTCCTGCAGAGTGGAGGAGAAAAGACACCCAGTGACTCCCAACTCTGTTAACCAAGAGGAGGCAGAAAAGGAGACCATCTGCATCCAGACTCACGTTCAGACCTTCTGTACCTCCTCTAACGTCTCCCTGCTGGACTTTCTAAACATTTTTTAGAAACCCGACAGGAGAAGCATGTTCCTTCAGTTGTGAGATTTTGTGTTCCCTTTAGAACACACACTGCAGCGTTTATGTGACAACAGCTTGTCTCCGGGACATTTCTGCACATCGATGCACAGTTAATGAGATTTCACCTCATTTGCATATTTAACATGACATTTCACGAGACTTAAAAATAGAATCACTGTCTTAATGTAAGTAAGCAGAATATTAATGCTGACGTCTGGAACGCACCATAAAAATGGAGAATAAAGCTTGTCGGACTGTTTCCTGACTTCAGGAACGATAAAAACCTTCGACTACGTTGACGAAACAAGACAAGAACTTTGAGCTGGATTTCATTTGCACAGTTAACCCTCTAAAGTCCAAATAGTTTGTAGTATTTTTTGCTCCCATCTTCCACCAACTGGCTCCTCTGTCCTCTGGTTCTGATCCATGCTGCATTCATTCATTGATCCAGTGGGCTGGATTTTCCTCTCAGGAGGAGGATGGTTGTGGTTCTACAGGGTCAGATGAGCTGAGTAGAACTTTTAAATCTATTTTTCAAGGATTTTGTGCAAATGTTATATTTTTGAAAAGGTTAAAAAGGAAATAAAATTGAACAAACTGACTTTAAACTGTGAGATTTGCTCTTTTTTTTTCAGTTGTAAGCCGACGGTCTCGTGATTCTTTCTCTTTTCACTCTGATAAATGTGTAAAAAACATTTTTAACAGAAAACATGCCCGTATGAACCGCTGCGGGCTTTCTGACAGTCGGGAAACAGAACCGTCAGTGGTCAACTGGTTCCATGGTGACGTTCGTTAGCTCCCAGCAGCTGGACCTGAACCAGAATGCTTGGGTCCATCCTTCCCTTTAACGGGCTTTGCTGCATGTTTGCATGGTGTCTGCGTCCTCATCTTTGTGCTCAGCAGCTTTAGGTGAATAAACAACGCCGACTTAAACCGAGCTTTGATCGTTCCTGAAGCCCTCGAGCTGCTGCTGCTGCTTAAACAAACTGTGCAAGCTGTCGCCCACAAAGCTTCCAAGCAGAGCAGGACGGAGGAGAGCTGGGTCCTGCTGCTGCAGGCTGGTTCTGCTGCAGAGCAACAGGGGGCAATGCATCCTCACTTTTCCCTCACAGCTCCCTTACCGTGAAGAGCGCACACAGCCGGTCCACCTTCTCCGGGTTCTTTGGTCCTCCGTTCTTGTTCAGTCTCACCATGAACTTCTCGCTGAAAAACACAATCAGAAGAGCAGCGGTGTGAGGACCAAGCGTCACCAACCAGAACTGGCACCAGAACCAGCACACGGAGCTCCACAGGCGACACCAGCGCTGTGTCTGACATCGGAGTGGGTTCGTGTCTCTGCTGGTCTCTGATGTACCACACTGATGCACTCGGCTCTGGTACCAGGAACAAAGACATTCATGGTCTCAGCTCCGTCCAGTCACCACATCCCTCCGGTTCCTTCCTGCCTTCACTGGTCACCAGTTGGAATTGATTTTAAAGTTTTACTGCTTGTTTTTGACTCTCTGGACCCCAAAACCTACTGACCCTGGTCTGGAGCGTCGATGTCCCAGAAGTACTACTTTAAACTCCATAAATTAGAGAATGAAGTTCATATGTTTGATTAAAATCCCATGGTGTCAGGGCGAGCTGAGCGCCGGCTCATGAACAGGATGGTCGTGGGTTCGAGTCCCGCTCACCACCCTCTGCTACAGGTCTCTCCTCATTCTTCTCCTCTTTCCTGTCTGTCTCTCTACTGCTCTGAATAAAGACAAAAAGTAAAACCAATAATTCACTTCATGCCACCCAGACATCATCCTATCAGACTTGCTGCTCGGCTCGACTCAGAGGTTGAGAAATTCTGCTTTAACCGCTCGCAATTCAGCCCGGCGGCCCTCGGCCTCCTCGGGGGGGATTTCTGAAAGAGACGAAACACCTTCAGCTGTCTGCTCACGCCTCCTTCCTCCTTCCTCCTCCCTCCTCCCTCCTCCCTCCTCCCTCCGAGGTCCCGGCGGTGAGGAAACTCTGAGGAAACCGGCGACTCTCAGCCTCTTTCTGGCTTCAGGGATCTGCAATGTAGCGGCTGCTACCAGCCCAGACCTCAAGTTCTCCAGACAGCCGGCAGGACAGAAGGTCAGCGCTCGGCCTCCAGGACGATAAAAGCCACCAGACCAGGATCTAGAGTTCAGCATCAAGGCTCCGACTGAATCCTCATTCTGGTGTCTTATTAACAAACTGAGACACCTTCAGTCCCAACAAGGTTCAGACACACATCAGAGCTGTTTGTAGCGTGGACACAGTCCTGACCCGCCTCCTGACCCGCCTCCTGACTCGCCTCCTGACCCGCCTCCTGACCCGCCTCCTGATCCCCCTCCTGACCTGCCTCCTGACCCGCCTCCTGAATCACACCTCCAGACGTTTACAGGTCAGGAGAGAGAACAGTGATCCAGCTCTTAGGGCCTGAAGCCTCTGCTCATCGTCTGAATGAATCTGGAACCAAAACATATCAGAGATCAGTTTGCTGAAGTCTGGAAACTCTCCAGGACGTGCAGGTCGGTTGGTTCAGACCCGACAACGACTGAAACACAGTCACAGTAGAGCTGTGGTTCTGCTGCTCAGCCATACATTATTTATCGTACAGTATTGATTAAACGCTGCTTCCTGTGCTGCACAAACCTTCCTGTAAAACCAACACCATGTGATGCCACACTGTTTTGGTTGTGTGACGGATAAAGGACGGTGACTGAAGGATTGCAGTTTTATCTCCCGTCTGTGTGTTTGCTGAACTGGATCAGATCCCGCCGTGTAGAAGTTTGTTTTCCAGGTTTAGTCTCACGCTGACCGACAGCTGAAGGCCTTTACAGCCTGTCAGCAGAGAGCAGCTCGGATCACAGCGTGCAGACCAAACAGCCGAACCTTTACCAGCTCTAGCTGTGATCCATCAGGTCTGACTGAACCGTGTCACCTACTCACGAATGTTCTGACTTGGTGTAAATCCAGACATTTACAGTTCAAGATATCTTTAACTTTCAGCCCAACATGTCCGCATGGCTCTTGTCAGGATCTTAAACGATGTTTGAATGAGTGTCATTAGTCCAGATGATGCTGCTGAAATCTGCCACTTTAGCTCCTGACAGTCAGCTGATGATCTGTTGGCCTCAACGGTGACAAACGCATCCAGACTTTCACTTCTAACTACAGTCATGACTCGATAACCCGACACTAAATGTAAAACCTTCTTCTATGTCGGATAGCAAGGCTGTCGGATTGTCAAGACGGAGGTCCAGATACAAGGAGGGCTTGATGCTGGAAGGCTCATTGGTTGTTAATATTTATTGCACGTTCCGGCCACTTCCACCCCGGGGCAGCGCTCTGACGGGGTGGAAGTGTCCAGAACACACAGGCAGTACTTGGCTGCTGATGCTAGTTTAGTTAGCGGGAGTGGCAGATACGCTCCACCGTTACCATCTATGTTTACTTCCATAAACACTGAGCACGCTCACAGCGTGTGACGTCGTTGTGTCCTCTTCTGCGCATGTGGGACACTTTTGGGTCGTATGAAGTTCACACAGCAGATCACATACAAGTCGCATTTAACTGGAAATGTGAAGGAACTCACAAAGAAATCCTCATTGAGCATCAAGTCCTGCAGCGTGAACGTAGCCAATCTGTGGGATTGTTCAGTCAGATAATACGCCGTTATCCTGATTGGTGACATTAAATGTCATGTTGGAGTCAGAATCCAAGGCTGTCGCTATGTTAAGGCTGTTTTTATGGGTTCTGTTGGTTTCTCCTAAAAACCTGTCGGATAGCAGGTTTAGGATTGTTAAGGGTCGGATTATCAAGTCATAACTGTATTGTATTGAGCTTCATGTGCTCACAGCTCTCATGGAAGAATATCTGAGTTATATTAAATGCAGCACAAACTGTAGCTGCACTGAAAAAAATAACCTTTAAATACGGTAAAACTCCAGCAGCTGGGGAGGGAATACTGGACCAGAACCACTTTCCATGATCAGAATACGTTTTCTATACATTTGACCTGATACCGAACGCTGCTCCAGATTCACAGACCGATCTCACCACCAGCATCACCACAGCTGCACCTTTCAGGAGTCACAGGTCCTCTCCTGACAGGATCACATGTCTGCATGTATTCTGTTGTTCAGCGTCTCCAGACAGGAAGCCGACTGCCAGGTTTGTGTCCAACTCACACACAGCAGCAGCGACGGCCGACAAATCCCCACAGCACACTCCCCCTAAACGGAACAGTTTATTCTAATCCCCAGGAGACAGCGCAGCCCAAACAAAGCGCGCACAACAAAAGAGAATAAAAGTGCATTTGTGCCAAACAGAGGCCGAGTGTGGCTCCATGTGTGGGCAGGTGGGAGGTGAAGACGACCACAGCCTCCTGCTCTGCTGCTGCAGACGCTCGCCGGAGTTATTTGTGAGCAGCAGCAGCAGCAAATATAGGACACAACACGCATCACACGGACCTGAGAGGGAAACACAGGACCGGAGCTGAATTATTCACCCAGAGACACAAACAGATGCAGTCAGACTGGAACACGGGCCGCGGCGTGCACGCATGTGGACGCATGGATGCACTCGGTCACGTGCTGCACACGGACATGCACCACCGGGCGCTTTTATGGAAATGCATACGAAGCAATCACTTCCACGCCGCTGCCGTTCATCCTCCTGATATGTGCAGCAGAGGCCCGGCTCAGGAAAACAGCACCGACACTCGGGCCGAGAGAGGAGGACAGGCCTCGGTCCGCCTTCATCCACCTGCAGGGATCCACACCGACCACAGAGCAGACCAACGGGGCTCCAGGTCTTCAGACCAGAGACACAACGACTCATGGTTTGTTCATGCACAGATCCTCCACCGGATGGAGGGATTTAAACCAACAAACGAACCCAAACGGGCCTCGTGCTGCCTCGCTGAGCATCTGAAGACTCAGCTGAAGGAGGAGAGCATCACTCTGGAGGAACCTCCGAGTTCCTCAGAACGGTTTTTCAGACCGAGTCTGTGAGGTTGGGAAGATATATAATATTGTTCAGAAGAGCTGTATTCCTCCTGTTATCGCGACCGTTGATCAATATTTTCTGATATTTTATTGATGTTTTATTTCTATTTTTAGATTTTTAATATTTGTGGACATAAAAATATATTTCTGACATTTTATTACAATTTCTTGACAATCTATTTATATTTTGTGTCATTTTATTAATATTTTCTGACTTTTTAATCTATCTTTTATTCAAATTTTCCCACCTTTCATGTACGTTTTCCATCCATCTGATGAACTCGTGTCTCTCAGTGAACCTCTGAAGCCACTGAAGGCCAATAAGACGCTGCACCACCTGCGTGGCTAAACAAACCTTCGTTCTTCTGGTGTTTTCTACTGACTCTGCTCTTACTACAGATGTTATCAAAATCTCTGACGTGACTCCTCCCAGAGAGAAGCTGAACGCTGAGTTATCGTCTGTTAGTTCCACCGAACCGTCTCCATTTAACCTCGACCCGAGCAGCTGATCTCGCTGCATGGCGCCGGTACAGCCGCCGTCCTGCACCGGTTTCAGTCGACTCTCA